AGTAATTCAAACTGAATTAGTATAGTGTAACTGCAAAAATAGAAGATTCTAACCCTGCTTTTATCTTTTATTTTGCAGGGAGAAGACTACTGCTACGTTTTTGTTTGTTTGTTTGTTTTTTTTTTTTTTAAGGAAAAACTCTTAATTAATAGAATGCATTTTGAGTTTGACACTCGATTAGGTCAGGATTATTAATTTACCATGTTTGGCATTAATGATTTTTTTTAGCAGTCCCAAGTCAAATTACTTTGTGCATACTTCTAAAGTGATTTTTTCAAATTCCACTAAAGTTAAGTTATTCGTATTAATATTAAAAAATTTATAAAGAATGAATTTTTTATTGATATTCTTAATAAATTAAATTTTAATTAATAAAATAAATATAAACTCCTTATTAACTAAGTTATAATTCCTCACATTAGTGTTAATTACTTAATGCAATTGCCCCTCTACCAGAATCAAAATCGAGAAAGTCCCCATACGTGCCTTAGTTATAACGAACATTTATATGTGGTTGAATCATAAAATATAAATTTAATGTAAGGTGATTAGTGATTAATGTAAAAGTTAACATTTCGAAAATTTGAAATTATTGCCAATTACATAAATTTATGTCACGATGTCCCCATCACATATAGAGTATCTATAGTAGTTTGTTAGAGAGTGTTTCTTAGCTTTATTGGCTCAATCACATTTTGTGAATGGATAATAATTGATATAATTTTTTATTTAACAATATATATATTAAGAAATTATTTTGAAGTGTAATTTAAACGTAAAAAATTTAAAAATTATAAAATTTAATGCTTAAATCAATTAATATTATAACATATATTGAGTCAAATGATATAACAACTATTTTCTTTTGTGAACATAAAGACATAAAATGTTTATGTGAAGGTCAAAGATATCAAGATTAAGAAGAAATAAACCCTCCATAGCTAATTTTATTCTAATTAAATTGTTAATTTAATAAAGATATGGTGCAAATGTATGACCTTGTATCTCACATCCCCACTTCAAACGTATCCTGCCACAATTCATGGCAACAGCAGGTGTCAAGTTAACCAACCCTTTTAACAAGTCAAAAGTTCGGAAGAAAAAATGGGAAGAATAAACTAATTACATATACATATTGTGGTGATCAGCACCAGTATTCTGGCTTCGAAGGTTGAATTTTAATTTTTGTTAAGTACGTGATCCCACATGAGTTGGTAGTATGTTCTAACTAATCTAAAATTCTCACTGGATGTCGTTTAAACAATGTTTTGAATTCATGATTTTTTTATCTTTTTAAGCGGTATAAATAGGAGTTGTTGAAATCCCCACCCCAACAAATATTACATATACTGTAAATTGAAAAAGCTAAAAGAATTATCGAGACTTAAGCCCCCACTATGTCATTTTCTTTGTTTTTTTTTTTTTTTTTACAATGAAAATTACGTTAATATAATTAATATATGTTCTTAAACGAATGAAAAAATATCAAACTTAAGACTCAAACTGCATATGTTTCTAGGGGTACCCACTTTGTTTCTCGATAAAAAGCGTGACCACTGGCCATGTAGTGGTGAGCAATTTCATTTTCTTTGTTGAATTATCTTTGTAGAAAGTGTTGTGGATCCCCTAACCCATAACGCCAAAGTAGGCATGATTGCATATTATAAAGTTGATAGCAATTTACTTTGAATGGGAGGGCTACATCTTTAGATTTTTTTTTTTAGATGATAAATTATATAATATAAATAATTAAATATAAATAATTATTTATTTTTTAAATATTTTTTTTATCTATTCTAAAATTTAAATGTAAGACTTTTATAATATAAAAATTTATGTATTTTTGTAGTACAATCTTCTCCTCCTTCTTTTTTATTTAGGAGAATTTTTTCGATGGAAGATAGAATACATAAATAATAGTACAATAACAAATATCACGTACTAATATAATTTTTTTTTTTTTTCGAACGATCTTGTCATGGGGCGGGTTTCGAACCCGCCCAAGGGAGGAGAATGTGCATTTTTCAGTGGCTCTAATTACTGAGCCACACGGGTCAAGTGCGTACTAATATAAGTTTATAATAATAATAAGTTATTATATAATTATTTTTTATTTAAAAATATATTTATAATAGTATATATTAAATTATTTAATAATTTATTATTATTATAAATTTATAATTTTATATATATTATAACAACAACATTAGTTATTTATTAAACTAGTATTTAGGTGTTCATGTCCCTTCTTTCTTCTTTTTATGGGAGTGGCCACTAAGCCACAAGTTGTGAGACTAGGGAAATCTCTTATTATTATTATTATATTTAATTATAATCCTGACTAGCTTAATCTTAGATCAATTTTCATTTAATTTCTCAACATCAAAGAAAAAATCTATTGTCCAGCACTTGGAGGCCAACTGGTCTCCCTGCAAAGAGGACGTGCTTAGGACTAGTTGAACTTGAGTTCAATCCGAAGTCCTCCCTTCCCCATCTTCTCGAAGAAAATTTTCCATTGTTCAAAAAAAAAAAAAAGCTACTAACGTCAGGATTCATGGATCATTTGATAGATATAACTAATGTCTTAATGATGATTAAAATTTAAATTATAACACTATTATGTTATAATTCTTCATTTCCTACCTCAAAATTTACCTGTTCAAAAAAAAAAAAAAAAAGGGAAAATATCTACTGTTGAAGGAGTCAGCATCCAGTTATGCTGAAGTAATCGTGCAAAAGGGATAAGGCCTGAGAAACTGATCCCTCGTAACATGTAAGGTGGTGGTTTCTTTTCTTCTTCCCAATATTCCCATTTGGTAGCTGCAGACCATATTGGCAAATTGATCCAAAAATGTCCATTAATTCCCCGGGACATGTACCTCCGAATTATACCGGTGTGGTCCCAAGTCCCAAACACACAGAATTTCCCCATCTGTCGTGGCTTATTAACGGTGGTCGAGAAATGCATCCATTTTTAATGCAAAACCCGTAACACAACTATCTAAAGGGGGCCAATTCACAGAAGACAGACACAAGAAAGAGTGCAAACCATTGAGCCGCTATCATTGATTCATAAGCCATGATTCGAGCCCCATGACAAAAATCTTTAGATGTTAAGCATATTACCTATTCGTACATGAATTGAGAACCCTTATACTCAAAAATATATAAATATTCTTTTGTGATTTAAAAAAAAAAAATTAGTATGTATTAGTATCAATTTATAAAAAAAATTAGAGTTTTAATTTATATTTAAAAATTAAAATTTTAACTCAAAATTTAAAAATTTAATCAGTTTTTAAATTTAAATATTAATTTTTAATAACATAAAATTTTAAATTTTAAATTAAGTTTTAATTAACTAAAATAACTTAATTTAATATTAGAACTTCAATTTAATTTCTTTAAGAATCAAGATTGATATGTATTTTTTTTAAATACTTATTTAAAATTATATATATTTCTAATTAAAAAAAAAAGTGACTGCTGAATTGTATTAGGGAGGGGTGGGGTTGTAGTCACATGGCCAAATGACCAAATGTATAGGCCACACAATAATAATTTAAAAAAATTAAATTTATTTAATTTAATTACTAAAAAATTAATAATTAATAAAATAATTAATATTAATTATTTAATAAATTAAAATTAATTTATAAATTAATATTTTTATATAATATAATTATTTATTTGAAAAATTATAATTAATTAATTAAATTAAATTAATAATTTATAATCTTAAAAAAATATTATGCAACGAATAACCATAACCATAAATGTGTGATAATACTATTTCTCAAGAATTAATGGCTTCCCTTATAGCTAGGGCAGACAACAAGTCAACTTCAAATCAATATCTAGGCTAAAATTAACCATTTTAATTTTGGAAGATTGAAGTCTGTAACTTATATGCATTACATAGGGTCTTAGGGCTAGGTCTTCAGTCTAAATTTGGCTAAATTTACTTGCCATGGTTGACTGTTGCCTACGAGTTATATGGTTAAGAAAGGTCCCTATAATTTGTATTTCCCTTAAAATTAAGAAAAAGAAAATGTATATATAATTGACTATTACTTGCAACAGTTATGATTCCAAACTGGTCCAAGAATTGACTTATGACTTAGTCGCCATTAATTTTTATAAAAAAAATTTTCACGTTAAACTTGACACGTGTAGTGGGAATCTCATCTTCAATATTCAAAAAAAAAAAAAAAATGGTCCGGTTTGGGCACCAAACCCAAAGACGCCCATATCAGATCGGCCTCAAGTTCTCACGGACTCACGGTCAGAACTCACAAGCCAGTTCTCTGGTAATTAAAACCAACTCGGTC